GGGCCCAGTTGTAGATAAAATACGCAAAAAAATTACATGCCGATGAGCATGCCCTTGACGGAGGGCCGCTTCTTCATGCGCGGCGCCTTGGGCGTCGCCGACGGCCGCCGCGGCGGCGGCGCGTCGCCGTCGACGGGCGGCACGACCGCCGCGGCGCGCGCGAAGAACTCGACGCAGGCCTTGTCCGCCCAGGACGCGCCCCGGAGGTCGAGGTAGGACAGGTGGCCGCCGACTTTCGTCGTCGCGCAGGCGACGAGCTCCGGGTTCTGCGCGACGAGGCTCGCGTCCGGGCACGGGTTCGAATCCGAAAAATCGATGACGTTGTCGTCGCGCGCGGCCAGCACGAGGTAGGGCGCGCCGACGCGGTGCAGCTCCTCGGACGCGTCGTTGGCGCGGTAGTACGCGTCCGCGTCCGCGTGGCCCCAGGGCCCGCAGATGAGCGCGGTCTCGATGTCGCGGATCGACGTCGCCCGCAGCACGCGCGCGTCGTAGGCGCGCGGGTCCGTCTGGAGCGCGTAGCCCAGCTTCATGGGCAGCGTCATGGCAAAATTCTGGATCTTGTTGACGACGCCCGACGCGAGCGACGCGTTCGCCTTCGCGAACGCGCGCGGCGCGGACACGGACGCCGCCGCCGCGAGCACGGGGTAGGGCGTCCGCGTCTCCGCGAGGAACTTCGTTAAGATGGACCCGCCGAGCGACTGGCCCACGAGGAAGAGGCGGCACCGGGGCCCGACCTCCGCTCTCACGTGGTCGAAGACGTCGTCGAGGTCGCGCCAGGCGTCGGCCGAGTAGGGCCGGTCCGACGTGAGGGGCCCCGACGCGCCGACGCCCCGCCAGTCGTAGCACACGGCCAGGAAGCCCGCGGCGTCGAGGCGCGCGAGGAGCGCGCGGACGAAGCCCGTCTCCGACGAGTTGTTCAGCCCCGGCAGGACGACGGCGACGTCGGTCCGCCGCGCCGCCGCCGGGCAGCGCCACCAGGAGAGGGCCACCGTGCCGCCGTCCTCTAGCGCGATCTGCTCGACGAAGGGCACGACGAGGCCCGCGGCCGCGAAGGGCATGCGCGTGCCCTGGTAGACGGTCCCCAGGGTCCCGCAGAGGACGTGGAACGGGTGCGGCCAGTAGACGGCCCGCAGGGACGCGCACCGTTCGACGATGGACCGCACGAGGCTCGGCTCGTTGCCGAGCGTGAGCCGCGGCCGCCGCGCGGCGCGCGCGTAGAGCAGGGCGTAGGCGGCGGCGCCGCCGGCGAGGGCCGCGACCGTGCGCCGCGGCAGGTTGCGGGCGCGGTCGGCGACGCGGTCGGCGACGCGACAGGCGACGCGCGCGAGGATCGCCAGCGCGTCATCGAGGGAGACGTGTATTGATTTAGGGCGGTCCATAATGACGACGTTGCGCGCTGGGCGGTCACAACTCTCGTGAGACGCGCTCCAGGCGGTCACGCATCGACGCTCGGGGGCAACATCAAGGACTTGTCGTCGGCACCATCAACCTTCGGAGCATCGACGTCTTTTTCGATCGGCATGATGCGGGGGCTGCGTCGTCCCCGACCCCTCGTCGCCGCGGTCGCGGCCCTCTCCGTCCGGTCGGCGTCGTCGTCCTGCGCCTGCGTGGCGCCGCCGGCGGACGCCGCGGCCTACGACGTGCTCCTCGCCGGCGACGCGACGACGGCGACCTACCCGAATCTCACGGCGGCGGTGCTCGCGGGCGGGGGCCTCGCGCGGGCGGCGAACTACACCTTCGCCGCCGGCT